CCCCGACCAGCTTCATGATTAGCTGGGAAGCCACCTCCGTGCTCCCTCATCACCAGGTGATAAGAAAGCATGGAGCCGGCTTTCATGCCAATCAGGAAGTCGGCAGCCCGGCTTCCTGATTGGCCAGCCCAATCAATCAGGAAGCTGAGCGGTGAGCCATTTTGGTGTCGCTCCACCAATGGTGTCTCCCGTGTGCGGGCCGCATCCTCCGCACCCCCCAATTGATGCCACTGCTCGCCCCCCTGGCTTCCTGATTGGCCCGGGAAATGCGTACGAGTATTAGCACAAATACTCAGCAACGGCACCGATACCCCTATCGGTATCGGTGCATCCCTAAGTTTTAGTTTCAAAGTTTTTATTGGTTTTTTGGTTTTCCATTTTTATACAGAAATAATTTGTTACAGTCAAATATCATGTGCATCATAGCCAATTATCTGGTTGTCTTTAATATCGACACAGTACCCCCCCCCCTCTCCAAAGTATTTAAGGCCTTAGTGGTTCCGTTACCTATGCATAGTTAAACTATAAGAGCCCATTTGTTAAAGGAGAACTATGAGGTGAGTGCTTTTCACTCACCTCATAGTTCTAGCCGACCTTAACTTTTTTTTACCTATGCTAGACTTCCAGTAAAAAACAAAGAAAAAGAAAACATATATAAAATGATTTGCTATGGACAGGGCTTAAAGTGACTGCTGACCAACTTCCTAACCTGTCCACACCTCGGCATACTGGAAACACACGTTATGTTCTCATGCGTTTGTGCACATTCCCATGCAAGCCTGTGTTTGATGTGCAGATTCTACTACAGTTGTCTCGTGTTTTTTTCCTGTGCATTTACGTGCATTTGAGTGTGTGTCCACGCATCGGAAAAATGTTCTGCGTTTCAGGTTCCATTAACAGGTGCCAAATGTCTATGCAGGTGTGATGCACGTTTTTGAACGCGCGGCCAAACATGTGCCCATAGCTCAAAGGCCATGCAGTGCATGATGGTTAAAAAAAATCTGCCGGGTGAATATAAATACATAAATTTGCATTGACTGATTATCTCAAATAATCTCAAATATGTAACATTCACCTCAAAAGCATTGGCCGAACTATCGCCATAGCGACCCGGGCACAGGGGGGCCCGGCCAATACGAGGAGCAAAGGGGTCCCCCTGATGCTGTGCAGGACGCCAGGGTCGCTATGGCATCGCGGGCTGCTGGCTGTCACTGGCGGCTGTGAGGAGGAACGTGCCGCTGTTCAGATCACTGATAACCTGTCAGTGATCTGTGCTTCTATAGCGGGCTCTGCAGATCACTCTCAGGTGGGCTGTGTGGGATCTCAGGTGGGGGCTGCAAGGGGTGTAACTAGAAATCACAGGGTCCCCATACAACATTTTGCTATGGGGCCCTGTGATTTCTAGTTGCGCCGCTGCCTCAAAACCATAGTAGAGGCCAATCTGAGCCTCATCCCTATAGTAAACCCTCAATGACAATCTATCCATTTGAAATAAATCTTGCGGGATGTGAGTTGTAGTTCCTTCCTGTCGAGCTTTCAGGACTCCTTGTGTCCTGCAGAAGATCGACATCAAAACATGGCATATAATATAACATATATCTCCCTATAACGCTGAGTCAGCGGGAAGAAACTGTGCAAGTCTCCTGCCATTACACAACCACGGTCCATTGTAGGCAGACCATGCTGGGACTTGTGGTTCTTCTCTAGAAGACAACGGTCACTCTGCCGCTGAGAGGACAACAGGGTCCCGTCCCCCTGATTGATACATTTCAAGGAGAACTTCAGGGTCAGGGCTTTTCCCCATAGTTCTCCTTAGGGTAACGGGAGGATACATTTTCCCTTTTCTGTTACTTTTTAAATCTTTGTCCACAGAAAAATAAACTTCATCCTCCTCCAGTACTACTACTACTAGCAGTGCACTGTTACCACCACTACTGCTACCACTACTACTACCACCACCACCACTACTAGCACTGTTACCACTACTACTACCACCACCACCACCACTACTAGCACTGTTACCACTACTACTACCACCACCACCACTACTAGCACTGTTACCACTACTACTACTACCACTGCTACTAATACTGTTACCACCACTACTAACACTGTTACCACCACTACTGCTGCCACTAATGTTACTACTACTAATACTGTTATTTCTGTTACTACCACTGCCACTAATACTGTTACCACCACTACTGCTGCTGTTACTACTAATACTACTAATAATGTTGCCACTACTACTGCTGTTACTCCTGCTACTACTAATGTTACTACTTCTACTATTACTACTACTACCACCACCATCACTACTGCTAAGAATAATAATACTATTAGTTACAGTTGTGAAACATTTGGCGCAGTATTAGTCACGTCAGTACAATGTTCTCACCATATAACTGGAGATATGTATTTGACCATAAAATGTCTGTTTCCTCTCTGTGTCACATGACAGAGGACGTTGGTCGGGAGTTTTCGGTGAGATGGGAAGTGAAGGGTTAAGCGCCCCGGCAGCTGCTGGAATATTTTTAGCTTTGTTGTGGAAATCTCTTAAAGAGCAACTGCGAGCAGAGACCTGAAACCACGGCACCCGTCAGCGTCTTCCTGTGTGTGACCGAACGCTGCGATGCCGCGTCCCACGATCAGATTCTCAGAACTGAAAGTCAACTGATGGCGTGTGATCAGAGACGAGTCTACCGTGTGATTCCAACAAACGTGTTACATTGTAACAATCCGGACTCACCGCAACACAGAGGATGGGGAAAGAAAAAAGAAATAAACCCCAGGGGATTCGAGCGGAGACCGGGTGACACCCCGCCGTGATGTCATCGGGCATGCACGGTTGTCTTATTGATGCCTGCCGGCGGCCATCTTAGTGATGGACGCCGGCAGGGAGAGGAGGGGACGATTGCCTGGCGGGATGAGGTATGCCGCCGGGTCCCCTCCTTTCTCCTGACACTGTCGGACTCTCAGTACGTGACCGAGTGCCCTGACTTTTCATAGGGGGTGACACCAAAATGACTGTCAGTCAATTTCGTGTCACCCCTCCAATGGTGGCACCCGGGTGCGGGCCGCACCCCCCTTGTGACCCCACTGATAAACTCCGTCCTTCCCTTCAGTCTTGCACAGTTGTACCGACTCCTCTCATCTTCCTCTGATGTCACTGCACACCGGGAGCTTCTCACAATGATAGAGCCCGCCCCATTTTCTAACTGGCTATGCCTGGCCCCGCCCCCTTTATTCACTAGCACTAGATTTCAGTTCTGTCAATCATGGAGGCTAAGCATCATATGTGGGCGTTGCCCATGATGGTTTGCATGCAAATACAGACTGCCTAGGAACGCCCACTTCTCCAGACTGACACACACTAAGGTATTTTGATATTTGCATAACTCCTCCCACTGCTTGCATCTGGGCTGGGGCAGGGTGCTGTGATGTTTTCAAGAAGCTAAGTACAGCCCCCTGCCGGTCTCTCCCACCGGCCATGATTTGTCTGCATTGCATAGAGAAGCACAGAGACCCGGGGATGACATCACTGGACCTAAAACAAGGCATGTAATGAAAACAGAATTTTGTTTTCTTTTAGGTACATAATAAAAACAGATGAAAAATAATAATAAGCATGTTCATTGTAATTCTAGATGTGGGGTACACCCCCCTACCAGAAACAGATACCGGGGCTTCAACGTTTTCAAATTGAAGTGTTTGCTTAGATCCCGCGCTTGCTGGGGACCTTGTGTCGCCTGTTTAAAGTGGTTTCCCCCCCATCCTGAGACCCTCCCCCAATATATCAGACCGGCCCCCCAGCAGAGTATGTGGCAAATTCATATACTATTATTCTGCACTGCTGTGTAATTTATTGCTGGGATTTGTAGTCCCTCTACGGCTTGGAGTCAGTGACAGAACTACCCAGGTTGCAGCCGTGACCGGCCCCGACGTTCCACCTCTGTCCTAAAACCATTTCGTCTTTTTCTCCGTATTCATTCATCTGAGTGAACATTCTCCACTCCTTTAGTAAATGGAGAGTGTTCAGGTTCTCTCTACATATCATCCTCCATTCTTTTTCTGTATTCCTCATCCTCTGTATTCCTCATCCTCCGTATTCCTCGTCCTCGTCCTCCGTATTCCTCGTCCTCCGTATTCCTCAGCCTCCGTATTCCTCATCCTCTGTCTTCCTCATTCTTTGTATTCCTCATCCTCCGTATTCCTCATCCTCCGTATTCCTCATCCTCCCTATTCCTCATCCTCCGTATTCCTCATCCTCCGTATTCTTCATCCTGCGTATTCCTCATTCTCCGTATTCCTCGTCCTCCGTATTCCTCATCCTCTGTCTTCCTCATTCTTTGTATTCCTCATCCTCCCTATTCCTCATCCTCCGTATTTCTCATCCTCCGTATTCCTCATCCTCCCTATTCCTCTTCCTCCCTATTCCTCATCCTCCGTATTCTTCATCCTCCGTATTCCTCATCCTCCGTCTTCCTCATCCTCTGTCTTCCTCATCCTCCGTATTCCTCATCCCCCGTATTCCTCATCCTCCGTATTCCTCATCCTCTGTCTTCCTCATCCTCCGTATTCCTCGTCCCCCGTATTCCTCATCCTCCATATTCCCCATCCTCCGCACTCCTCATCCTCCGTATTCCTCATCCTCTATATTCCTCATCCCCTGTATTCCTGGTCCTCCCTATTCCTCGTCCTCCGCACTCCTCATCCTCTGTACTCCTCATCCTCCGTATTCCTTGTCTTCCGTACTCCCTGTCCTACGTATTCCTCATTCTCCATACTCATAGTCCTCCGCACTCCTCATCCTCCGCACTCCTCATCCTCCATATTCCTCATCCTCTGTCCTCCTCATCCTCCGTATTCCTTGTCCTCCGTACTCCCTGTCCTACGTATTCCTCATTCTCCATACTCATAGTCCTCCGTATTCCTCATCCTCCGCACTCCTCATCCTCCGCACTCCCTGCACCATGCCTGCCTCATCCACTGTACTCCTCGGGAAGCCGCCCTGAGGGTTCTCATGCACTCTGGGTGGATTTCTTGCTGTCAGCTGTTTGTTTCTGGCTGATAGCCGACCGGCCTAAAAAGAGTTCCTGTTGTGTGCAGAGCGGCCCCCTCCCTCCTCGTATGTTCCCGGCTCCTCTGACATGTGTTGTGTCTCTTACAGTCTACAGAGTGTCAGAGCGCAGACAGGAGCCCGAGGGCCACAGCCGAGTCCCCCACCATGTCTTCCTCCAACAAGAGCGACTTCACCTCTCCACTGCCACGTGAGTACGGGCGCCGCGCCACGCTGGGTGGACTGCCACTGCCATGTGGTAACTTCTCCCCCGTCAGCACGCTGGGGGACTGAGGAAGGAGCCGTGTGCAGGGAAACGTTGTTCATAGCAACAGAACTCTGACCGGCCGCCGTACCCCAGATATCCTCATCCATCTCGCATCATGTGACCTGACAATGAAACGAAAGTGACAACTTACAGCTACGAGTAACATCAGTCCCTCTTATTGCTGGAATCCCCCGGTGCCCAACCCATGGCCCCTCAGTACATGCTGTGTGGCCCTGTGCAGACCCCAGCTGTCAGTATTGATAGCATTAATCTCCTGTAGCATGTCTGCAGTCTCTGACCATCTCCTGCACCATGTCTGTAGTCTCTGATCATCTCCTGCACCATGCCTGCAGTCTCTGATCATCTCCTGCACCATGTCTGCAGTCTCTGACCATCTCCTGTACCATGTCTGCAGTCTCTGACCATCTCCTGTACCATGTCTGCAGTCTCTGACCATCTCCTGTAGCATGTCTGCAGTCTCTGACCATCTCCTACACCATGCCTGCAGTCTCTGACCATCTCCTGCACCATGCCTGCAGTCACTGACCATCTCCTGTATTATGTCTGCAGTCTCTGATCATCTCCTGCACCATGCCTGCAGTCTCTGATCATCTCCTGCACCATGCCTGCAGTCTCTGATCATCTCCTGCACCATGCCTGCAGTCTCTGATCATCTCCTGCACCATGCCTGCAGTCTCTGATCATCTCCTGCACCATGCCTGCAGTCTCTGATCATCTCCTGCACCATGCCTGCAGTCTCTGACCATCTCCTGTATCATGTCTGCAGTCTGTGACCATCTCCTGTAGTATGTCTGCAGTCTCTGACTACCTCCTGTACCATGCATGCAGTCTCTGACCATCTCCTGTACCATGCCTGCAGTCTCTGACCATCTCCTGCATCATGCCTGCAGTTTCTGATCATCTCCTGCACCATGTCTGTAGTCTCTGATCATCTCCTGCACCATGCCTGCAGTCTCTGATGGTGTGTTGTTGTATACTGAATATTATGTGCAGCTGTCAAGGGCCACAGATGGGGCCCCGTACTTTGTGAGTTCACACCCACGTATGTTTGTTGTAATGTTTTGGCAGCCCTGCGGATTGCGCAATCTCGGCCCCTTTTTCGGGCCATCTGACACATTTCAGAGCAGGAAGGAAGTCGTCCGTGTTTCTGGTCTGATGCTCTGAGTGTGAGCGGCGGGCGGCGCATGGCGGTACAAGTGACCTCACACAGCCGCGCTCAGTGAATGATCCCTGGCATATCAGATCGGTTCATTCTCTGATGCTCGGGGGCGGGGGGGATACACAGACGTCTGCAAAACATATAAATGAGCCGCTAATCAAGACCAGGACTTCTTTTCCCGTCCACCCAGTCCTGAGATTCACACAGCTCTGCCACACAGTGTAGCCAGCGAACTTACAGACCTGACTTTCCTCTTCTGCAGTTAAGCCGCCCTCCGGGGCCCAAGCCAGGGACTGTCAGCGTACTTCTTCTCAGCACATGTGAATGGACCACTATGGGTATAATTATACAGCAGTGAACTGGACTTTCACCGTACATTCACTGCAGGTGAATCCTCCTGGTACAGGTATTTAGAATGATTTGTAGACTTGTGCGCCGTCAAAAAATTTGTTCTGTTTCGTTTCGGAATATCCGTTATTTCGCATTAATTCGTAACTGAACTCGATTCGGATTCGTACGAAATACGAATTTTCGTTAGTGGCGGTTATATTTTCGTAACTTTACGAACATTCGTTATGATGAAGTTAAAAAGCAAAATACCTTTGTTAATATTGGAGTCGATGGGGTAGTTGTTTTTTTATCCGAAATACGAATTCCGTTAACGGATTCCGTATCCGAATTTCGTATTTCGGACTTTAAAAAAAAAAACTACCATCAACTCCAATATAAATGTACTTTGCTTTTTAACTTTATTATAACGAATGTTCGTAACGGAACGAAAATACGTCAACGGAATTTCGTATTTCCTGCCTGTGTATTGTAATGCAACTCTCAGCAGCAGCGGATCAGTATCTCGGATTAAAAAAAAATCTTGTCATGTTGTTCAACCTCATTTACAGGGGTAATATTAGTTCCTGTTTCAAAGAAATTCGGATCCGAAATTCGTTAACGGAATTTCGTATTTCGGATATAATTCGGAAACTGCCATTCGGATTTCGGATGCTCCGAAATTCGGAATTTCAGGAAAATTCGTACGAATTTGGATTCGTAACGAAACGAATCACACATGCCTAATGATTTGTTAATCTACAGTGAATGTTTGATAAAAAGCCCTAAATGTCACCCACTTAGGGTCTAATGGCGGATACTCCTGGCTCTGCGATCGGGGAATGGCGGTGTCGGTGTCAGTGTGAGCGGCGAGTTGTGAAGGAAGTGTCAGATTTTTTTCCTTGCATCCTAAAAATATTCAGAGGATTCGCAGGGTGGTGAGGGGAGGGGGTGAGCTGGGCGCGGGGCCGACTCTCCGGAATTATCTCTGTGACACATGACAAAGATACCAGGACGGTCACACGGCGGGGCCATCCCGGGTCTCAGGTCATCCGAAGGAGAGAGATTTCTGGGCCAAAGTTCCGCCAGATATAAAATATGCAATCAATGTATCAATGTGAATGTATACTTGTATCTATATGTCTAAGGCTGACACTGCTGAGTAATGACAGGTTCTCTTTATTGGAAGGCAGACACTGCGGAATAATGACGGGTCCTCTTTATAGAAAACAGACACTGCTGAGTAATGACAGGTCCTCTTTATTGGAAGGTAGACACTGCTGAATTATGACAGGTCCTCTTTATAGAAAGGCAGACACTGATGAATAATGTCAGGTCCTCTTTATTGGACGGCAGACACTGCTAAACAATGACAGGTCCTCTTTATAGGAAGGCAGACACTGCTGGATAATGACAGGTCCCTTTATTGGAAGGCAGACACTGCTGAATAATGACAGGTCCTCTTTAAAGGAAGGCAGACACGGCTGTATAATGACAGGTCCTCTTTAAAGGAAGGCAGACACGGCTGTATAATGACAGGTCCTCTTTAAAGGAAGGCAGACACGGCTGTATAATGACAGGTCCTCTTTAAAGGAAGGCAGACACGGCTGTATAATGACAGGTCCTCTTTAAAGGAAGGCAGACACGGCTGTATAATGACAGGTCCTCTTTAAAGGAAGGCAGACACGGCTGTATAATGACAGGTCCTCTTTAAAGGAAGGCAGACACGGCTGTATAATGACAGGTCCTCTTTAAAGGAAGGCAGACACGGCTGTATAATGACAGGTCCTCTTTAAAGGAAGGCAGACACGGCTGTATAATGACAGGTCCTCTTTAAAGGAAGGCAGACACGGCTGTATAATGACAGGTCCTCTTTAAAGGAAGGCAGACACGGCTGTATAATGACAGGTCCTCTTTAAAGGAAGGCAGACACGGCTGTATAATGACAGGTCCTCTTTAAAGGAAGGCAGACACGGCTGTATAATGACAGGTCCTCTTTATAGAAAGGCAGACACTGCTGAATAATGACAGGTCCTCTTTAAAGGAAGGCAGACACGGCTGTATAATGACAGGTCCTCTTTATAGGAAGGTAGACACTGCAGAGTAATGACAGGTCCTCTTTATTGGACGGCAGACACTGCTGAATAATGACAGGTCCTCTTTTTTTGAAGTTAGACACTGCTGAATTATGACAGGTCCTCTTTATAGAAAGGCAGACACTGCTGAATAATGACGGGTCCTCTTTATAGAAGGCAGACACTGCTGAATAATGACAGGTCCTCTTTATAGGAAGGCAGACACTGCTGAATAATGACAGGTCCTCTTTATTGGACGGCAGACACTGCAGAGAGTAATGACAGGTCCTCTTTATAGGAAGGCAGACACTGCTGAGTAATGACAGGTCCTCTTTATTAGAAGACTGACACTGCTGAGTAATGACAGGTCCTCTTTATTGTAAGACTGACACTGCTGAATAATGACAGGTCCTCTTTATAGAAGGCAGAGACTGCTGAGTAATGACAGGTCCTCTTTATAGAAGGCAGACACTGCTGAATAATGACAGGTCCTCTTTATTGGACGGCAGACACTGCTGAGAATAATGACAGGTCCTTTGGCATACACTGCTGAGTAATGACAGGTCCTCTTTAGTAGAAAGCAGACACTGCTGAATAATGACAGGTCCTCTTTATTGGAAGGCAGGCACTGCAGAGAGTAATGACAGGTCCTCTTTATAGGAAGGCAGACACTGCTGAATAATGACAGGTCCTCTTTATAGGAAGGCAGACACTGCTGAATAATGACAGGTCCCCTTTATTGGAAGGCAGACACTGCTGAATAATGACAGGTCCTCTTTATAGGAAGGCAGACACTGCTGAATAATGACAGGTCCTCTTTATAGAAGGCAGACACTGCTGAGTAATGACAGGTCCTCTTTATAGAAGGCAGGCACTGCTGAATAATGACAGGTCCTCTTTATAGAAGGCAGACACTGCTGAATAATGACGGGTCCCCTTTATAGGAAGGCAGACACTGCTGAAGAATGACAGGTCCTCTTTATTGGACAGCAGACACTGCTAAATAATGACAGGTCCTCTTTATTGGAAGACTGACACTGCTGAATAATGACAGGTCCTCTTTATAGGACGGAAGACACTGCTGACTAATGACATGTCCTCTTTATAGGAAGGCAGACACTGCTGAATAATGACAGGTCCTCTTTATAGAAGGCAGACACTGCTGAATAATGACAGGTCCTCTTTATAGGACGGCAGACACTGCTGAATAATGACAGGTCCTCTTTATAGGACGGAAGACACTGCTGACTAATGACATGTCCTCTTTATAGTACGGCAGACACTGCTGAATAATGACAGGTCCTCTTTATA